AAAAGAGGTTGGTTTATGAGGTTTAAGGAAAGAAGCCATTTCTAGAATATAAAAGTGCAAGGTGAAGCAACAAGTGCTGATGAAGAAGGTGCAGCAAATTATCCAGAAGACCTAGCTAAGATCACTGATGAAGGTGGCTACACTAAACAACAGATTTTCAATGTAGGCAAAACAGCCTTCTACTGGAAAGGAGATGCCATCTAGAGCCTTCATAGCTTGAGAGGAGAAGTCAATGCCTGGCTTCAGAGCTTCAAAGGGCAGGTAGATACTCTTGTTGTGGTAAATGCAGCTGGTGACTTTAAGTTGAAGCCAATGCTCATTCACCATGCTGAAAATCCCAGGACCCTTAAGAAATTAGCTAAATCTATTCTGTGCCCTAGAAACGGAAGAACAAAGCCTGGATGACGGCACATCTGTTTACAGCATGGTTTACTGAATATTTTAAGCCCATTTTTGAGACCTACTGATCAGAAAAAACAATTTCTTTCAAAATATTACTGCTCACTGACAATGCACCTGGTCAACTAAGAGCTCTGATGGAGATGTACAAGGAGACTTATGTTGTTACCATGCCTGCAAATACAACAACCATTATGTAGTGCATGGATGAAGAGAAATTTTAATTTGCAAGTTTTATTATTAAGAAATGCAATTCATGGGCTGGGCTCATGCCTGTAATCCCAGCACTTTGGGAGCCCAAGGCAGGTGGATTGCTTGAGCCCAGGAATTTAAGACCAGCCTGGGGAACATAGGGAGACCTTGTCTCAAAAAAAAAAAAAATCAAAAAATTTGCTGGGCATAGAGGTTCGTGCCTGTAGTTACAGCTATTTGTAAGGCTGGGGCAGAAGACTGTGATTGTGCCACTGTACTCCAGTCTGGGTGACAGAGTGAGACCCTGATTGGGGCGAGGGGGGAAGAAGGGAGGGAGGCAGGGAATTCATAAGGATATAGCTGCCATAGACAGTGATTCTTCTGGTAGATCTGGGCAAAGTCCATTGAAAACCTTCTAGAAAGTATCCATCATTCTAGATGCCAGTAAGAATATTTGTGTTTCATGGGAAGAAGTCAAAAATATCAACATTCACAGGAATTTAAAAGAAGTTGATTCCATCTAACCACACTAAACCAGTGGAACAACAACCACAAAAAAGAAGTTGATTCCAATCCTCATGGAGTTCAAGACTTTAGTGGAGGAAGTAACCGCAGATGTGGTGAAAACAGCAAGAGAACTAGATTTAGAAGTGGAGCCTGAATATGTGACTGAATAGCTGCAATCTCATGATAAAACTAGAACAAATGAGTTGCTTCTTCTATATGAGCAAAGAAAATGGTTTAAGATAGAATCTCCTGGTGAAGATGCTGTGAACATTATTGAAATGACAACAAAGCACTTAGTTTATTACATACATTTAGTTGATAAAGCATTAGCAAGGCTTGAGAGGATTGACTCCAATTCTAAAAGAAGTTCTGCTGTGGGTAAAATACTATTCAACAGTATCGCATGCTAGAAAAATCTTTCTTGAAAGGAAGAGTCCATCGGTGTGACCAACTTCATCGTTGTCTTATTTTAATTGCCACAGCCACCCCAGCCTTTAGCAACTACCACCCTGATCAGTCAGCAGTCATTCACATTGAGGGGAGACCCTCCACCAGCAAAACAAAAACAAAAACAAAAACACTCGCTGAATGCTTGGATGATTGTTAGCGTTTTTAAAGCAATGAAATATGTTTAAGTATGCCTGTACTCTATAGTTCTGAATTTGAACTGGAAATATTAGGATGAAATCACAAGGTATTATACCTTTAAATAAATATGTATTTTCTGGTCTCATCTGATCATTAAAAGCAATGATCACCATGGCTATAATGGCTATCCTTAGCACCCAGACTATGATCTAGAAATACCATTTTCCATTAAAAGAAGCCAGGGCTTCTGAAAGAAATGGCTAATTCTGAAATAAATGGTCTGGGCAAAGATGTCCAAAGTGAGCCTCAACACCTTATCAGACAGCAAGGAAGCTATCAAAGACAAAGAGGGTCATTTCAAAAAGACCGATGAATCTTTTTTTTTTGAGTTGGAGTCTCACTCAGTCGCCCAGACTGGAGTGCAGTGGCCGCTCCTGGCCACCACAGCCTCGACCTGCTGGGCTCCGGCGATCCTTCCGCCTCAGCCTTCCGAGTAGCCGGAATTACAGGAGCGCGATACCACGCCCGGCTAATTTTTTGATTTATTGTAGAGATGAGGTCTCGCCTGCCCAGGCGGGTCTCAAACCCGCGGGCGCAGGCAATCCACTCACCTCAGCCTCCCAAAGACCGATGAATCTTAAAGAGGTTTCCACTAGCAAAGATGGGACAATCTGAGCTTTGAGATAAGAACTATAACGGATTGTAATTCATCAAGTATGTTCAAATCCACATGTCCAAAATGAAAGGAAAAGAAAAAACAAAATTCATCACTTTCTGATGATGACAAAGAACCAATTTATCATCTTGAGAACTGGGCAAATAAAAGGAAAGAATCAAGCATTTATTTATCCTGCTTTCCTAAATGAACTATATGGGTGGGTAACTAAATTGTAAGAAAGAAGGGGGACATCATCTTATAAAATTTTACCAGTTAAAAATTGGAAACAAAATGACACAATATTTTGGTCCCTAATGAATTACTAGATCTAAGCATTGAGTATCAATAGCTGCACAAATAAAATTAAAAAAAGAAAACTAGACACCATGACATCACGTGCCTCCTACTGTAGGGAAGAAAATGACAATAAAGTCTTGACAAAGCAATAAAGTCTTTTTTTTTTCCTTCCCTGAGAAGAGGTCTCACTATGTTGCCCAGGCTGGTCTCCAACTCCTAGGCTGAAGCAATCCTCCCGCCTCAGCCTCAGCTTCCCAAAGTGCTGCGATTACAGGCATGAGCCACCTCGCCCAGCCAGAATTTTTTGTAGATATGAGGTCTTGCTGTGTTGCCCAGGCTAATATCAAGCTCCTGGGCTCAAGCAATCTTCCTGCTTTGGACTTCCAAAGTGGTGGGATTACAGATGTAAGCCTCTGTACCCGGGCCAAGTCTTGACATGGCTGACCACACTTTAATTCACCTACACTTCAGAAGTCAGCTGCCACTTTGCAGGGAATTCAGAAAACAGAGGAACATGTTAAACTATAATGCAAGGGTGTAATTAGCAAAATCCAATTGGCTGGAATGCATAGGTAAAGGGTCAGGGTTTTTCAACGGACACCTATAAGGAAAAGAAAATGATAGAGGAGGAACCTCATAGATTAAGACTTAAAAGACAATATATAAAAATTTTAAAACAGCAAGACTAAGCTATAATGTCTGGAGATGTACATTTAAGTGATGAACACCAAAAAGAAAGGCATGGGAATCACTATTACAAAAATCAGGGTAGTGGACATTTTTAGACAGAGGAAGGGGGTTGGGGCATATGGAGAAACCCGAGGGGGCTGGGAAAGTTCTATTTTATAGAACTTCATAACATGCTCAGTAATACTAGAGACAGGGAGTCCCAAAGATGGGTTAAACCAGCTTCTTCAAAAGAGGTTCAAACTCTCAGTTTAAGATTTTGGCATTGGGCCTAAATAATATTCCTTTCCCTTAGCAAAATGTACCTTCAGTCATTAAAATGATCAGTTTAGCAAGGCACATTAAACAAAACAATTCCTTTTAACAACACATTTCTTTTTTTTTTTTGAGTTGAAGTCTCACTCTGTCGCCCAGACTGAAGTGCAGTGGCACGCTCCCGGCCACCGCAGCCTCGACCTGCTGGGCTCCGGTGATCCTTCTGCCCCAGCCTTTCAAGTAGCTGGAACTACAGGCGTGCACTACCACGCCTGGCTAATTTTTGATTTATTGTAGAGATGAGGTCTAGCCAAGTTGTCCAGGCGGGTCTCAAACCCATTGGTTCAGGCAATCCACTCACCTCAGTCTCCCAAAGCATGGAATTACAGGCTGAGCCACTGAGCCCGGCTAACACATTTCTTTAATATGCTTTAAAACTGCCAAAATTATGAGATCACAGGAGGAGACATTCTCAGTCAAAAGCCTATGAGGAAAGCTGGTAAATGTTTAAATGACACAGTTCAGGAATTAATGTGTGTTTGTGTGAGACAACTTACAAATTCATGAGGAACTATTTATCTATTTACCATCATTTACTGCAGGAGCAGCAGTAGTCCTGTGCTTGAATCTAACCTCCTCAACATGTTTTGGGCTAATTTTTAAAATGGATCCAAACCAATAATCACATTTTAGAGCTAAAGCTCATAATCAAGAGCAAAAGTCCTCCAAAGTCTGATCTTACACATAACCTACATTTGGAATCTAAATGAGGGAATGTAAAGAATTTCACTTTTCAAGTTTTTTGTTTGTGTATCTTCATGAAAAGGACTTTCTTAACCAGAGTCCACTGGACAGAACATACCTTCTAACATCAGCTTGGAAATAAGCATTTGCAAACACTATTTCTTACCATCTGTGACAGATTCATTTTGTCTATATAACCTTTGACACATCTTATCTCACTGTCTTATGTGCCAGCAGTTTTTTTTTTCTCCTTTTTAGGGGAGTGTTAATTAAAATTAACTATTATCCAGTAAAATTGCTTTTATTGACTAAAATAATTTTACATAAACAAAAATTAATTCCTGAACGGAATTAAAACATGTGATCATTTAAACATGTGATCAAACAGCATTCACAGAATTATTGGAAAGTCACTTTATCCTAAGATCTTCCCTCAGAGATTTCAACCATCAATAAGAACATCACACACAGCAAACACACACAAAGACAACAGTGTACAACCTTTTGATAGGATTTGCAAAAGGCTTATCTGTAAACTTTCGTGTAGCTAAATTATTGCATAATTCAAAACTGCTATGACTCTCTGCCTTTCAAGACACACACATACATGTGTTTTTGAAAGGAGTAGGCAAGTTTCACTGGCCTGTGTGCATGCAACACTCAGGGAGCTTACCATGACCGTGCAGTCCTCTGAGCCACTGGCAATCACCTGATCGTTGTGTGGACACCAGTCTATGTCTAGCACTGGTCCTGTGTGGCCACATACCGTAGGGTAGGATTTGTCAATTCGACCAGTCTGAAAGAACATAAAAACAAACTTAGTATGCAATATTAACACCGCAGAGTTATGTCTTCTCAGACCCATCTCTCCTTTATTACCTCCATCCAAAACTCCCAACTGTCTACGTATGATGTCGTTTGTATTAGTAAATGTCTGTGGCTCAGCCTGTAATCCCGCGCCTTTGGGAGGCTGAGATGAGTGGATTGCCTGAGCCTGACCTAATCTCTACAATAAATCAAAATGAGCCGGGCGTGGTAGCGCGCGCCTGTAGTTCCAGCTACTTGGAAGGCTGAGGCAGAAGGATCGCCAGAGCCCAGCAGGTCGAGGCTGCGGTGGCCGGGAGTGGCCACTGCACTCTAGTCTGGGTGACAGAGTGAGACTCCAACTCAAAAAAAAAAAGAACTGTTAACGTTCACCTCTAGAAAAAGCTACTACCAAGAATACTTAATCAAATTACAAGGATCCAAATGTCTAGAACCACAGTTTACTTAATCAACCTCATTAACAGACATAGCAAAAGAGAATACAAAAGTCTTTTTTATCAAAAGACAATTCTACAACAGTCAAATAGTAAATTATAGGGATGTTTTACAGCAGGAAAAAAACACCTACATCTTGGTATTATTCAAAATGTAAAATATAACTTTTAAGACAATGTCCTCAAAATATATAAATTAACAGTTCTGGAAATGAATGGCACTGCTAAAGTTTAAAAAAAAAAGCTTTAGCTATTGCTCAGGGGCTAAAGGGCACACTACATTGTAATGTCTTGGTCTCTCTACTATCTTCAATCAACAGAAATGCCAGCTATTCTAATTAACACCAGGCTTAGATCTCATTTATTGGCCAGTTTCCCATCTCTTTAAGAACAAATGGCTAACAATGGTCATAAATAGCTACCATGATCTGCTCGTGTAACACATTTGAACCTAATAAGCCAACCGGGCTTATCAGACCTGTGTCAACCAAGATAGCTGTTACTGTATAACAACAGGTGGATAAAAGTTATTTCCTTTTTCAAACAGGTTAATGCCAATTCATGCTTGGGTTGTATATGTTCTAAGAGCAATCAGACAAAAAGCAATCACTGCAATGTATAACTTAATCAATTTTTTGTTGTTGATGCTCTTATTATAGCAAATTATCCCAACATAGAGGCAGGCTTCTTGGCAATTTTTCAAGATCAGTAAATTCTCTGATTTCTACAACTTGGCTTGATTAGGAAACTCCAGAGAAGCAGTATGCTAAAGTGCAGAGACTACAGGCTCTGGAATCAGACAGATGAGAGTTCAAATCCAAGCTCTACTGATTAAACAGCAGGGGGCCTTAGACAAGCCATGTAATCTTAGCTTTATGATTACTGTGAGGATTAAATGAAAGAACATTGTTAGGTAAATCATAACCCAGGATTATAATGATCTGTGTAAAGTATGTACAAAAGTTAATTACAGTTCCTAGAACATGATAAATACTCAATAGACAACTGTCACTTATCAGTTCCTATAGCATAATACAGTAATGTACTCCACCATCAAGAATTAACAAATATGGGTTATCTGTGAACTCTAATGAGTCAAATGCAGGCTGAGTGCTGGAGATGCAGATTTGAGCAAGGCAGCCCTGACCTAACTTAGCGTGAGGCCACTGAAAGGAGAGAGACATCTGAACACCCAATCACAGTGCCACATAACAAGCACTCCATGAGGACAGGCACGGGTGGAGGAACACAAAAGAAAGGCAGTCAGCCAGGCTCATGGGATCACAGTCCTGGGAAAGGTTTTCTGCTAGGAAAGGTGAGTTCTAAGTTGAGACATAAAGACAGCCCTGTCTAGAGACCTAAGGCCTAGGGTTCTTCATATCCTCCCCCTCCCACTGAAAAACTAATTCAATCCAGTTTTGATATCTTGAAATAGATCATCAAAAAGGACTTCAAAAGTAGGCATGGTGGCTCACGCCTGTAATCCCAGCACTTTTGGAGGCTGAGGTGGGAGGATTGTTTGAACAAAAATAAAGGAAATGCCAATGAATAGCATATTACACAGAATCTGGGTGTTATAAGGAGTAGCCATATGGGACATCTACAGATAGTGATGTACATGTGATTGAGGACAGGCCTGCCCAGGTTCTGCCACTGTCTAGCTGTGAAGTCCTGGCCCAAATTACTCTACATTTCAACCTCAGTCCCTTATCTGTAAAACTAAAATGTTAATAGTTCATTCTTTAAGAGTTTATGTGAGGTCCAAGTGAGACATTCAAGGTAAAGTACTTGGCATTGTACCAGCACTTGAAGCATTCAATAAATATTGCCCAACATTTAATAAATGCTGGAATTCACTCTACCACATTCTGATGGTGTCTCTCCTTAAAGAAGGAACAGCTATTAAGTCGAAGTCAGGTGGTTTTACCTAGTAGCTCTCTTATTTTATCCCCATAACTGTGTGAGATGGGTCTTCCTTTCTTTCCTTTCTTTCTCTCTCTCTCTTTTTTTCTCACCTGACTCCACAGTTTATTTTTCACTTTTGAAAGGCCCTCTCACCTTTATCTTCACGATGAGGCGGCATCACATGGGACTCCAATCCCCAGCCTCAGAGGTGTTACCGAAGTCTGCATCTGCTACAAATTGTACTGATTTAACATAAAGAAATTCCTTAAAAACATCTTTGGATGCTGCTAAACAGCAAATCCTGAATACTTTTCTTCACATTTCTGTGTTTCTGCAAGAATATGGTTCCAAGAATGTCTTGGTTACTAAGTATATATTGAACCCAGGTTCCCCTTGGAATCTCCAGATTATTCATTCTCTTTACACATAATTATATAATTACGCTTCTACCCTTTATTCACTGCCCTGTTTACTAACAAAAGCTTCTTGCTTAGAAGACAACCTCCATGCAAATATTCACAGCATTATTCAAAATAGCAAAAAACTGGCAAAAACTCAAATGTCTACCAGCTGATGGATAGACAGATCTAATGTGGTATATCAGCACACTGGAACATCACTCAGCAACCAGAAGGAATGAAATGCTAGTAGTGCTATAACATGGGGTAACCTCAAAAACATTATGCTTGGTAAAAGAAACCAAATGCAAAATGAGATGGGCATTTCATTTGACGCTCTGAAGCTACTTTCCCAGGTAATGTCTAGTAGCTCAAGTTGGTGGGGATGGGCTCGCAGGTGTTCACTCTATTTTATATGATTATTTGATCATTATAGTATTATAATCATTAAACTATAGCTATAGTTACTTTTGAAGGTGTGATGGAAAAATTTCTTTTCTTTCTTTCCTTCTTTTTTTTTTGTTTTTGAGACAGGGTCTCACTATATTGCCTAGACTGTAGTGCAATGGCTATTCACAGGCATGGTTGTGGTATACTACAGCCTCAAACCCTTGGTCTCAAATGATTCTCCTGCCTCAGCCTCCCAAGTAGCTGGGACTAAAGTTATACACTGCTGCATCTAACCTGAATGTGTGATATTTCAAAATTTAAAACATTATAAGGCAGGAAAGGCCAGAATCAAGTCTGACACACATTTAAATAGACATTCTGGAAGGAGAGAATAAAAAGAATACAAAAGAGGCAAAAATTAAAGAGAAAATGGCTGAGAATTTCCCAGGTTCAGTGAAATGCATAGGTCTTTAGATTTAAGAGGCACAAATTCCACCTCAAGAAGTATAAGTGAAAATAAATCCCACTGGGCTCAGTGGCTCAGCCTGTAATCCTGCGCCCTTGGGAGGCTGAGGTGAGTGGATTGCCTGAGCCCACGGGTTCGAGAGCCGCCTGGGCAACTTGGCGAGACCTCATCTCTACAACAAATAAAAAAATCAGCCGGGCATGGTAGCGTGTGCCTGTAATTCTGGCTACTCAGAAGGCTGAGGTGGAAGGATTGCCGGAGCCCAGCAGGTCGAGGCTGTGGCCCAGACTCTGTCTGGGCGACAGAGTGAGCCTCCAACTCAAAAAAAAAAAAAAAAAGAAAAGAAATTGCTCTTTATTCATATCTTAGTGAATTTAGAACAGCTAACGCAAAGAGAAAACCTCAGAAGCAACAGAGAAAGGACAGATTACCCCCTCCCCCTTTCGTTTTAAGAGACAGGTCTCACTATGTTGCCCAGGTTGGTCATGAACTCCTGGGCTCAAGTGATCTTCCTGCCTTGCCTCCTAAAGTCCTGGGATTACAGGTGTATGCCACCAGGCCTAGCTGAAGTAACATTTTATAACTTCCAAAACTGGCAAAAAATGAAAAGTCTGATCAATTACGCTGGTGAGGATATCAGAATAGAAGAATTCTGTTTACAGAGTATCCTGTTACAATTCCTTTTTAAAGCAATCTGGTAACAAGTAGAGGCCACGATGTCTATCTCAGCAATACCACTTCTAGGCCATCTGGGTGACAGAGATGCTCCCATATTTTGTACAAGAAGGATATTTTTTGCAGCATTCTGGAAATAGTACCAAAAGTAGAGGCAATTTCACTGGCCATCAATGTGGGAAATTATTATTTATATAAAAATTTAACACATACAAAATGAAAGTATACATTACAGAGACATAAGTAACAAAAATGCAAAAATTTGATACACATTTGAGGGAAAGATTACCTCTGGGGAAGGAGAAAAGAAAAAGGGGGATGGTGTTTTAGCTACATCTGTTATACTTTTATATTTTCTTTTCAAAAAAGAGAGATATGAAATAAGCATGGCAAAATATTAACATCTGTTTAATCCTGTGGGTGAGTACATGAGTATCCTATTATTTTGTCTGACACATTTCCTATTTTGAAAAAAAAAGAATTAAAAATATAACGAAGTTGAGAGAAACATCAATGCACTATTACTAACTTTACATTACGTTTTTTTTTTAATTCCCAAGAAAAATGGGTTTCTACCTGAATTATTGTATTTTATGTCAGGGTTGTTACATTCTTAGGCTCTCTCAGCATCCTTGGCAAATCACATTTGGCTTGTCTTTTTTTTTTTTTTTTTCAGTTGGTGTCTCACTCTGTTGCCCAGGTT